GGGAGGGCTAGGAATGGGGAAAAAATAAGAACCAAGATGCATTATGTAAAGGTACAATTCCCAATGAGAAATATAATTGTATTGTATACCTACAATGTACCAATAAAAGAACTTAATACAAAAAAACCAAATATTTTCTTAAAGTATTGTCATTCATATTTTTGATCACATATCATACCTGCTTGATTTTATGCCTGCAATTAAATTAATTCATTAAAATAACTGTCATAATGCATTGACTGGCAGTATAATGGTTAAGAGCATTAGAGTTAGATAAAGTTGAATTTGAATCCTAGTTCTGCCTTTTACTGGCTGTGTAAACTTGAACAAGTAGCTAAACCCCTCTGAGCCCTAGTTTCTTCATCTATAAAATGATGAAGGATAACAATAATATCTCCCCCTCAGGTCTATTCGAATGCAGATTATATAAAATACTTAGCACAGAGCCTAACACATTGTAAGCATTCAACAAACAATTATGGTGATGATAATAATTGATGATTCAGCATTTTAACTCTGTGTGTCTGTTTCCAAAGTAGAGTATGAGGTCAAAAATTTTGTCTTACTCCTTCAAATCCAATACCTGGCACAGGACCTGACATTCAAATATTGAGCAAATGGACATGCAGACAACTGTATAGCAGCACAAAAATGGTATTTGTCTTTACTGCAATTCCTTGGTTTAGATGTGTGCAGAAGATAGAGGATAACATTGCTAGGTTGTGTAAGTTGCTTGTTAGTGGAAAGGTACAAGACTACACTGAAACATACTTGAAATCATATGGTAGAGCTGTAGCTCTGAGGAACAGGCTGGCTTGACTAACCCAGTATTTGCAGCATCTCAAATAAGCTGGGATTTTGGGAAGTGCATGAATCAGAACAGGAAATACAAACCAATTCCTATGGCTTGTCCAGCAATGGCCATGCCAAGAGTGAAGAAGGATATGGGAAAGGATGCTAAAAGAAAAGATACAGTATTAAATGCAAAACTGAACAGGTTATTTGTTATGAAAAAGACTGGATGATGCCTTGATCTTTTCCAGGGCACCTTTGTATGATTTCAAATTTCCTTCAGAAGGTTGAATTTCTAATGTAAGCGCCAATAGTATGTACTTGTTGGCTATACACCTCAAACCAGGTCAGGTGCCAGGAAAAAGGAGAGAATTTCCCAGTGTGTTTTAAGTTGCACTTTTATTATTTAGGTTCTGCAATACTTGTATAAGGCCCATGATTTCAATTCTTTTGATTGGCATTGAAAATCCACTTTTGCATTTAATGGTTAAAGATAAACCAAAGAAACAGTCAATGCAATAGGAGCCTTTGAAATGTCGTGTACAACCTGCACTCTAGCAAGCCTTGGTGGGCATTGTACCCTATGGAATTCTTGGCATATTGAACAAAAGAAAGAAAAGGAGTTTATCTACTCTGGCTTTAGCCATATGTCATGAATGCATTTGCTTTTAAATGAATTTATAAAATATTAATGTAATCACTGAACAGCAGAGTGGTGAATACATCAGTCAGAAGTTATATTTATCTTATTTGTTCATGTTTATTTCTATGTATTAGTGGACAGAACCTGGAGACAGGCATTTCTTTCTCAGTGGAAGTGGCAGAACTTGTTTAATGAAGTGATGTTTCTGTAATCTGCGGTAAGGTAGAGTTGTGAGTGAAAGAGCTATATGAATAACAATGAGGAGGCAGACAGAACAATAAAAAGTAGACAAACATTTCATAGGAGGGGAAAATAGATGGGATTGTTTGACACATAATCTAATCTGATCTTTTGCTAACAAAAATTAATAGTTTGTAAAAGGAGGAGATAATGTTAACAGTTTCTCCAAAATCTTCTGCATTAGGAATGTCATTTTCCAAAGACATAAATGGCATTCTGAACCAAAGTGCTTTTATTATATAGCATAGGAACACAAGTACCAGGGACCTTAAATTCTCTAAGACCAAAAGGGAACTAGACACCCCATCCCCTGCATAAAGCCTAACATATAGAAAGCCTATCATAAATGTTTGTGTAATGTCAGAATGAGTGTCTGAACCAGTGAATTTAGCAGTATAATTGCACATCTTGAATGGAAGAAAGAAAACTTACCATTCAGGACTGCCTTTCATGCCAGAGGTCTTCATATCTGTTCTGTCCTTTCATCTTTTAAGGTAAATGTTATTATTTATCCCCACTTCTACTAAAAAGGAAATGGAAACACAGAGATATTAAACTTTCGTTAAGGTCCCATCACTGTATATGGAGGAGAGTAGAGATATGAAAGCCACAGGAGGTGTGTGTGTGTGTGTGTGTGTGTGTGTGTGTGCGTGTGTGTGAATGTGGGTGTACGTGTACATGCATATTGAGTGAGATGACATATGAGTGCTAAACGTATATGTTTTCATTAAAAACATTACTCTTGGGAGACATTTTTTCTCCTAAAACTTTTGAAGGTCTTGACAGGCTAAGACAGACCTTTTGAAGGTCTGTCTCAGGCTGACAGGCATATAAGAGAATCACAGATGCCCTAGCTTGCTTGGGCTGGGTTTATAACAGGAGATGCCTGTGTGCCACCCACTTGCCCATCTGCCTAGATACGGGACTCCCTCGTACTGGGCCTGCTGGACCTGAAGCTCTGCTTTTGTGGGAAACACGGGTTCTTCCTGCTGTTTAGGCCCACTTCCTCTAGCGTCTTAGAAAAACTACCCCGGGACTTCAGGGTTTCCTTGAAGACATCCTTACAAACATTCCCCCTCTGACCTGTGTGGTGAGCATGGTGAAGTTTTTGGGAGTAAAGCCTGCTACTACTACTGCAACTGCCCCTGCATTACCAGAACTCTTTATGCAGTATTTTCTTTGTTTACAGTACATTGTGTATGGTTCTATAGTGAGGACAGGTTTGAGAGATGGGGAAAACAGAGTGCACTCCCTTCTCAAAAATTTGCATTTTTATATAGAAATGAAATTTAAACAATGAAATCAGTACTGACCTTAGACCCAGGCAAGTGAGGCCCCTGCCCTAGGCCCATACCTTAGGGAACCATGCTTTAGAAAGTCTATCTTTATATGTTCTAAATCCTTCTCCAGTGCTGACTGGCCAGCATGGTCAGTCCCATGATAGGTAAATGCCCTGATTCCAGAGCATGTCCTACCTGTGTTCCAGCCACAAGAATCACTTTTTCTGAAATTTTCTATTTCCTGATGTTTTCTTAAATTTCCCTCCTGAGGAGGTTAGCTGCTTCATCTGGATAAGGAGCCTCAATCTCAAATCAGACCCACATGGACTTCAGTATCCATTTCTCCCCTTTGTGACATTTGCCAGTCCTCTACCCCACATAGGGAATCAACTGGATGCTCCAGAAAGCTTCAGGACACATGCCTGTGGAATCCTCCCAGAGTCTTGGTTCCAGGAGAAGGGCCAGACAAGTAAATCGCTCCAGATGGATGAAGTGATTTCTTTAATGGTATCACATGAGATTGTTCTGCCAGAATGCAGCTGATGCTGATTTGGGTCGAATCAAAGTGTGTACAGAGAGAAGCCCCCTCAAAAAGTGTTTGGGCACTGTCACACCTCCTTAAGGCATCCCTGAATGAAACAAAAGGCCACATAAAATGAAATAAAATTCAGTAGCAACAGATAAAGAAAAGTTTTTAGACAAAGAGTTAAGAATGAACCAAAATTATCTGCAAAAGCTTTTCAAGGAGAGTGAGACTTAAGCTAGACCGTGAAGAATGGGAAAGTTTTGGGAAGGCTCAAATGATTCTAGGCAGGGAGAACAACATGAACAAAGGCACAAAGAGTAGTTAATTTACTGAGGCATTTTGTGTTGTGTACTATGCTACACACATTACATTCGTCATTTTAATTACTCCTCCCAGCTCCCTGTCAGGTAGGACTTATGAACCCTATTTTACAGCTGAGAAAATGGAAGTTCATATTGCTAGCAAATGGTAGAAATAGAACCCAAGTCTGCCTGATATGTGTGCTTTTAACACCGTGCTGTACTGTAAACAGAACATATGTACAAGGGATAGCAAGAAGCCTGGTTGGAACTGAGTTGAGGGTGTGTGTTGGGAACTAATGGAAGCAAGATCACTAGACAAAGTGCAGTCATATTACAAAGGATGTTGAATATCAAAATGAGATGTAGAGACTTACATAGGCCCTAATCAAAAAGGAAAGAAAAACCAGCCCTATCCAAAGGGAAATATACAACTGTAACATAATATTTAAGACCTGACAATACTACGCACCATGTTTTTTAAAAAACTATTTTGCCACAGGGGTGAAGGGAGGGCAGGGGAATGGGGAAAAAATAAGAACCAAGATACATGATGTAAAGGTACAAGGTCCCAATGATGAATTTAACTGTACTGTACACCTAAAATGTACCAATAAACTAAATGGAAAAAATATTTTGCCTTAGAAACTTACAACATTTTGCCTCTACTTGACCTTGCCTGATGCCATTTACTAATCTCTCTTTCCTCTCCTTTTTAGACTTTGATCCTGCTCTTGGAATGATGACTGGAATTCCACCAATAACTCCAATGATGCCTGGTTTGGGAATAGTGCCTCCACCAATTCCTCCAGATATGCCAGTAGTAAAAGAGATCATACACTGCAAAAGCTGCACACTCTTCCCTCCCAACCCAAGTACTGTTCTGCTTTTTCCCATATAAATCACAATGTCTTGGTGTATGAGAGCTTTCATCAGTTTCAAAAGAATACCTAGGGGCTTCATAAATGTATGTACAGAAGCTTCACCTAGAAAACAGAAGATAAAATTGTTTCTCACTGGGCAAAGCTGCATTTTATACACAGAACACTGGTTTTGTGTGCTGGTTGCAACACAAGTAATATTACATGTTTCTAATGCCATCTGGTAGGGAATTCAAGTGTGTTAGTTGAGAAGAAGGCACCCAGTGCAAATTGCTCCTCACTGTCATTTGTAGTGTTCTCATAAGTGGCCCACATGCTGGTGATGGCAGAACTTGAGCATGGTCTGAGCCTACCTGAGGCACATGATAATTTGTATTTGGTGCTAGGAATTTTCCACTGCTACCAGCTAGTCACACATCGTTCCAACTCCTGCTGTTTCAACTGATGAGCAGCAATACAGAGTGAGGTGTAGTTCAACTTATGGGGAGGGCAAAGAGAAATATTAAGGCTAAGTCAAACTACTTATAGCCATCCAGTCAACACAGTTCACATGAAAACAGTCTAGACATCTGTCTTGTCTTATTGGTTCTATATTCTCTAAGGAGAAGAGGCTTCTCCTCAGACTCACATTAAAATATCAGTAAAGATAGGGATAGTTAAGTTAAAATGTGCCACCAAAAATTGACTCAAAATTTCTTTAGATCCATTTTGAGTTTCATATACTTCAAATGATTGTGAGCTGCTTCTGCTCATGACTTAAGCCTCACTAATGTTTTTTCCATAGTCCTCTTGATGCTAGGTGACATACCAAGGGAGCTCCTGCTGTGATACAAAGAGACCTATTCACATGAAAAAAACCTTATCAAAATAAACATGAACTTTTGACATGTGACTTCAGACCAATACTTAACCATCAGTTAAGCATGATTTAGACCCTAGCAGAGATCCAGATGCTACAGCACTTGGTGTGATCTGCTTGTAACTAAGGTTTCAGGATCAGTCAGGGTTAGACATATCCCCTTGAACACTTTTGCTACTACAAACTGATCTTAATGCCTTCTAGTGTTTTTTTTTGTATTAAATTCTTTTATTGGTACATTGTAGGTATACAACACAATTACATTTCTCACTGGGAATTGTACCTTTATATAATGCATCTTGGTTCTTATTTTTTCGCCATTCGTAGCCCTCCCTTCACGCCCTCCACCCTTCCCTATTT